CTACACCCTTGCCCAGACTTGTTATTTCCTGCTTTCTTGACAACAGCCATCCTAAAGGGTGTCTGAGCTAGCACTTTTAAAATTAAATATAATAAAACACAAGAATGCATCACACATAGTAAGAACAAGAATTGTCGATAAAACTTTGGTTTTGTCTTTGGGTGTGTGTCCTGGATCAGGATGTGCGATGTTTCTTACTCTCGGCCACAAAGTTTGGAAGACAGAGTAAAGGCGGTGACACTCTAAATTACCTGCCTGTATGCTTTGGTGGCAGTGCTGGTCCCTCTACCTGGGACACTCTTCTCCTCTGTTCCCCTGGCTAACATCACTCACCCCACAAATGTTTGCCCAATGCCACCTCCTCTGAGAAGCCCTCCCAGTACTGTGTCCTTTACTCTGTCATCACAGCACTTACCAAAGATTAATTTTATGTTTTTAATTGTATGTTAAATCTCTCTTTCACTAGACTGTGAACTCAGATTGCCCTACTCACAAGTAAGCATAGTGGAATAGTCAAGACTGTTTCTGGAGCCAAACGACATTGTTCAAATTCCCACCTGTCACTCACAAGCATCATGATTTGGGTAAGTTACCGTATTTTTCGGACCATAAGAAGCACCCAGGTTTTAGAGGAAAATAGGAAAAAAATTTTGAAGCAAAAAATGTGGTAAAATATTTAATAACATAAGTAACACAATATTTCACCAATGTAAGTGTAAACAGAAGTCAACAGCAGCAGCATTAACAACCATTATTCCTCCCAAATGGCGGCAGCACGGGGGGGGGGGCGCGGAGGCGGGGAGTGAGTCTTATAGTCCGAAAAATACGGATAATTATCTTTTCTGAGACTTAGCTTCTCCTCTGATAAAATGGGGGAAATAATGGCACCTACTTCCCAGTGTTCTTGCAAAACTTAAATGAGATTCATATGTACAAAGCACTTAGAACAGGATGGTAGGCAAATCCAAGAGAGGGCTGCAAGGATTTGGGGTCCCCACCATTCCTCACCTAGAAGTATGGTGATCCTGGTTCCAGTTCCCCAAAAGATAGCATTATAGAAGTCCTGTGTATTTTATTACTCACCACCTATTCTCAACACCAGGAACATAGGTGCTCCTTACATATTGGTTTATTCATTAAATAACCCTATTTAACTGCCTACTATGCGTGGGGGCAGATGCAGGACCTTTCACTCTCTAAAGGCAAGAACCACTCCCACTCTCCCACTCCGTCAGATTCACACCCCGGTTTCCCTCCTCCCCCCGCCTTTGCATTTGTTCCTAGGATAAGCCTGGCGTGAAGTCGAAGCACAGGAGACGTGGGCACAAAGATCCTAGCGCAGAGTAGATACCCAGCTCGCTTTATGGAACAAGCGCATAATGGGTAGTAGTTTGGAGAACAGGGACTTTGCACTCCGGGGACAACTAGTACATTCATGAGGGCCAAGCACAATACTGGTTACTTTTGGGAGGGAACTAAAATTCCTGCAAGGAGACCGCTCGCAACTGGAGAGCGTCTCGCACGCCCAGTTTTCCGTAAAGCGAACAGCCAATAGGCAAAGAGCTTCGGCCCCACGCCAGCTCCGCCCAAGCAAGCTCACTCACGATCGCCTGCAGGTCTTCTGGCCGCAGCTCCCCCTTGCGGTGTTCTAGGGTGCGCGCGACTTCTTCCGGGCATGCGCAGAGCCGCTCCATGTCCAGCTGAGGGAGTGCACTATAGCCATCGCGCGCGTGCTCATACAGGAGGTTCCGTACTCGTCTCTCGGTTGTGAAACTCCTCCTTGGGCTGTGGTTGCACACACAACCTCTCCGGGGCCGGATCCCTCGGCAGGCCACAAAAGACCACAAACGCAGTGCTGTGGAGGCAGCCATCTTGGCAGGAGAACGAGCAGACACACACCCTTCGTCCCGTCCACTCCGCATTTAGACCAATTGCAAAGCAGTGTCCTGCTCCGGATGAGCCACTCAGACCCTGGAATAGGTGAGCCCTACCATATCCGAGAAAAGTGTACCGAGATTGACTTTGTCGTTGCCCAATAGCAGTCTGTGCTACGCCTGTCGTTGTACGTGAGGCAGAACCAGCCAATCCCAGCCGGGCTAACCCCCGGAAGTGGCAAGAAGCTGGATTCAGCGTGTCTGCGGGCCTTACTAGGGTTGGTGAGGTCGAAAGGATTCTGGAATATCTGTAAACCTCTCCAGTTCTCTCAGTTTCTCTTTACTTTAGTATGCAGGCGTGGGCGGTGGGGTCCCCAAGAGCCTTCCGAGAGGAAGGCGTCACAGGACATTACTTAAATTTAACCAGAAGGTCCTGAGAGCGGGAAGGGGAGAATTTGGGTCCTTGTCCAACTACGGCCACTTTCCCCTACTCCTTTCTGAGTCTGTTATCCACTAATACAGGAACGCTGCAGGTGCGGAATGTCTTGGTCCCACCTTCTCCGTGGCCTCAACACGTCCTTAAGTTATGGTAAGTGGGAGTCTTGAGCTGCAGAGACGAGGCTGGATGACGCTTATCTCCTCTGGGACGTGAGTGCCTCTGCCGCAGACCTGAGGGAATCAAGGGTTTTAAATCAAGGATGGTTGCACGGTGGGTTTTGGTGGAGCTCTGGGTGCAAAAGCAAGATATGAGAAGTGGTTGCATTGAGGGCTACTTTGCATCGGGTGAGTACCAGGAGTTTGGTTCAATTACTTATTTCTTTAGTAACTGCTCTACTTACTAAATACCACCGTGGTAGTAGAGACATCCAAGCAAAGCGTTTAACGCATTCATTCAGCTGATATTTTTCAAGAGCTTTGTATGTGCCAGGCACTGAATGGGACACTTTGTTTATGAACTTACTCCTACAAACATTGAACTACTTTTAATGGGCCATGCCCTTTGTGAGGTATTTCATTCACTTATTTACTATGCAAACCTTTATTAAGCACTTTCTGTTTGACATTCACCAAGGATCACAAGGCTGAGCACGATAGGCCTGCACTCTGCCTGGGGAATCTGGGTTAGCTTAACATGCAGGTTTAATGGTAGCTTCTCACACATGGTGCTCAGGAGGGAGACTTGATTATGGAGGACACTGAGGGGTGAAGAGTCTTGCTGAAGGGCACACCACTAGGAAGAGACTGCTAGGAATGGCTCATCCTCTTTGAGGATTCTGCTGTATGAGACAAAGATGTGGAAATGGAGAGTAGGGCCAGGACCTACCCTGTATATAGAGGGGACTTTGGATATGAAAGGGCATCCAGCCCTGGCGGGTGTGGCTTAGTGGGTTGAGCACCGGTCTGCAAACCAAAAGGTTACAGGTTCGATTCCCAGTCAGGGCACATAGCTGGGTGTGGCCCAGGTTCCCCAGTTGGGTACATGCAAGAAGCAGTCAGTCAATATATCTCTCACACATTGATGTTTCTTTCCCTCTCTTTCTCCCTTCCCCTCTCTCTAAAAGTAAACGAATAAAATCTTGAAAAGAAAGGGCATCCATGCCAGTGACAGGAAAGGATGGACCTCAAATTGGACTGGGAACTTTTTTTTTAAAGATTTTTATTTATTTATTTTTAGAGAGAGGAGAGAGAGAGAGAGAGAGAGAAACAATAATGTGCAGTTGCTGGGGGTCATGGCCTTCAACCCAGGCATGTACCCTGACTGGGAATCGAACCTGCGACATAGTGGTTCACAGCCTGTGCTCAATCCACTGAGCTATGCCAGCCAGGGGACTGGGAACTCTTAAGAGTGCTTGATCCAGGGCTGTCTCGGTCACCACCGTGCCTCCATTACTGGGTCCAAGACACAGTAGGTGAGATATGAATGTTGGCCAGAATCCAGCTATCTTAGAGTCTTTTTGCATTCTACATTCTATCCATGAGCAGATCCTGTGGGTCTGCCTTGGAAATATATTCCCTCCCCTACCTGCCTTTCCTCTTCCTACAGTGCAGTCACACTGCTGTCCTTTCTGTTGCTGTGTTTGGGGACACAGGCTGCAGCTGGGTGAACGAGGGGATGAGTGGGGAGATGAGGTGAAGGAAATACTGGGGCCAGACCGTGTGGGGCCTTGTGGAAGGACTTTGATTCTTACCCTGAGTGAGATGGCCCCACAGGAGGCACTGGGAAGGGAAAGGATGTGATCTGACCTAGGTGTGCTCAGCGTCCCTCTGGCTGCATGATGGAACAGATAGTAGGAGTCAGAAGACCCAGGAGGAGAAGGACACAGAAGAAGAGGGTGGACAGGACCCTAGTGGGTGCAGTGGAGACAGCACAAGTTAGTGTAGGTGTGATGCACAGAACAGTAGGCGAACATTGTGAGCTCATTTGCTTTTATTATCTTTAAACAGCATTAAAATTAATACTTCCCTTGCAGAATGAAATGAGTTAATTCATGCAAAATGCTGAAAATAGAACCTTAACACGTGGTAGTTGCTCGATAAATGTTAGTTGTTATTACTGTTATCTGTATGTATCCGGAGATATAAATAGGGATCTTATAAAGTGCTTGGAACGGTGCCTAGAACACCAGAATTGGATCACTAATACTGTTATCTGTTCCCTGGGATAATAACCACCACCACCCCCCCCGCCCTCCTGGTTGTGTCTCTCCAGGTATAGCCCTGGTCCCCCAGCTCTGGGCCATCCGCCCCATGGCCACTCTGAACCAGATGCACCGCCGGGGCCCTCCAAAGTGGCCACCTACAAAACTGGGTCCCACAGAAGGCCGGCCACAGCTGAAGGGTGTAGTTCTGCGCACATTCATTCGTAAACCCAAAAAGCCCAACTCGGCCAACCGCAAGTGCTGCCGCGTGCGCCTCAGCACAGGCCGGGAGGCTGTCTGCTTCATCCCGGGAGAGGGCCACACCCTACAGGAGCATCACATCGTGCTGGTGCAGGGCGGCCGGACCCAAGACCTTCCTGGCGTCAAGCTCAAGGTTGTGCGTGGCAAGTATGACTGTGGCCATGTGCAGAAGAAGAAGTGACCACCAGGCGCGTGGTTGTGCCGGGATTCATGCAGAATAAGAACCTTTGTCTCTGGGTTCCTACAATATCTTTGGGAAGCTAGGCCAGCTCTAGAAGCAGCCTGTCCTGGTTCAAATCCTGGCTTTGCCTCTTTCATTTCCCTTTTCCATCAGGACTACCAATAATAGCCCATGGAGGTCCTGGGTGTGAATTAGAAAAAGGTGCCCCTCTGCCAACACCCTGGGTGTCCACATATAGAGTGTTGGTCAGGAGGCTGCATCTGCTGGGCCAGTACACTGTACTGCCACCTCATGGGAAGGGCTTGCAATAAATACACAGACCCTGTGGTTGTGATGTGTACCACTTGCCGCGTTCACCCTCTCTGTGGTCTTGGCAGCTAACATGTCCTCCGGGCCTCTGCTCTGTCCTCTACCCACAGCATCTCCTTTGATGGGTTTGGTGGATAGTAGACACTCTGTACACAGCACATGCTGATGGGGACTCAGTTTTAAGTTTTGGCATCTGGTAGCAGAACTGAGACCCAGTTCTCCCTGCTGGCCCTGGGACCTGGGCAAGGGGAGCCCCACCCCCATGCTTCCTCCTGAAAGTGGCAGTAACTGTAATGGTGGCAATGAAGGGGCATCAAGAAAGGACTGAATGGGGGTTGCCGCTGCCTACATGGGAACTTCTTGAGAATTCTGTTATTCTCAGAGTCCTGGGTTCAAATTCTGCCTCTGCCTCCTAGTTATTCTGTGACTTTGGGTTTGTTTGTTACCCCCTCTGGGCCTGTTTGACCCCTCAGAAAACAGTCCTGAAAGTAATCCTACCCTTACCCGATCTTATGCTTGGCCATGTTAGATTTTAAGATTAGATGTGCTTAAAATCTAACTTTTTATATCTTTTTTAAAGGTTTTATTTATTTTTTGAGGGGAAGAGAGTGAGAAAGAAACATTGATTGGTAGCCTCTTGTATGCGGCCTTGGAATTTGTATGTAAATGGGACCTGGGGGGGAGGGGCGGCGGCGGTGGCCTTACAGGAGACAAGCTGCCCGTGAGGCAGAGGCTGCAGGTGTGGGTGGATGGCACTGTATAGCCCTGGCCTCCGATTCTGCAAGAAAGTGCCAGTCTGGCAAAGAGGGGAGGCACTGATGGGCTGGTGCTGGAGGAAGTCGCAGGAGCCTCAGAACTGAATCTGAGACCCCCAAACAACAAAGGGTTCCCTCCAGGTCAGGCTTTTCTGACTGGCTTCTGTTCCCTGCCAGCAATCAGCTTAACTCAAACATGCCAATGAGGGTCCTGTCCCAGGGTGGTAGTGGTTTCCCCTCATTAGCAATACAGTTTTGGCCTTTGTTTTCTGACTCAGTCTACCAAGTCTACCAGCTGACACCCACGTGTGAGGAAACAGTTTGCAGGCAAAGTAAAAATCTCGGTTAAAAATTGAACCCCCGGCTCGGGAAGCTGTGAACAGCCTGGTGAACAGCATGTGGGGTACCATGCTAAAGCAGCAAGTGGGGTTTGCTGGAAGCTGGCTGGGAACAAGCCACATGGGCCCCCAGCCATTCCTGAGCAACCTCTGGCTCCCGGCTGCAAAGCTGCCAGTGATTGGCAATGATGCCTGGGAGGTGGTAGTAGGTCCTGGAAGGCCTGATCAGGCTGGTGGGCTAGGACAGGCAGGTCCTGGAGGGGGTCACAAGGGCACTGTAGTGCCCCACCCAGGAGTGTGTGTCTCTCCCATAGTAAGAAGATGGGTATTGGATGCCCTTGCCAAAGTCGGTGAAAACGTGGGAGACCTGCATGGGGAAGGAAAATGAGAGTGAGGACCTGTGGGCTCCTCTTCCTCCAACTGGACTGACACTCCCCAAAATCAAGTAGGTGCTAGGCTCTGCCTTAGGTGCTGGGGATACAGCAGTGAGGAAAGCACTGCAGAGATCCTGGCCCGGCGGAGCTGACCATCCAGTAGGGGACCTGGACACGGCAGGGGTGGGAGTGGGGCAGAGGGGATTCTGCAGGAGGGTGAGGCTGTGAAGTGAGTAAGCAAAGGCCCACTGAGGTGACATTTGAGCAGACACACCCTGAAGGAAGGGAGAGAGCCACTTGAGGATCTGGAGGAAGGGTGTTCCAGACAGGAGCACCAGTGCAAAGGCCCTGAGGTGGGAGTGACGAGCCCAGTGAGGAGAGAAGTAGGGAATGAGGTCAGGTAGGGACTCAGCAGATGGTGTGGGGCTGTTGGGCCACAGGAAGGCTTTGGCTTCTTTATCTCACAATTTTTTATTGACCTAAAATTCACCCAACATAAAATGAACTATTTTAAACTGTACAATTCAATGTTTTTTTAGTAGATTCACAATGTTATGCCACCATCACCACTATCTAATTCTGGAATGTTCCATCACCCCATTAAAAAAAAAACCAACCCTCATATCCATTAGCCATTACTTCCAATTCCTCCCCCCCGCCCCCAGGCCCTGGCAACTACTAATCTATCTGCTTTCTGTCTCTAAGGCTTTGCTTATTCTGGACATTTCATAGAAATGCAGTCCTACAATATGTGGCCTTTGTGCCTGCCCTCTTTGATTTAATGTACTGTTTGCAAGGTCCATCCATGTTGTAGTGTGGATCTGTACTTCATTTCCTCCTGTAGCAGGATGAGAGGACTTTGGCTCTTACCCTGGGATGTAGCCACGGTAGGGCCACAAGCAGGGGAGACTGGTGATCCGGCTCCCTTTATAATGGGATCTTTCTGGATGTTGAGTCTGTTGGGTGGTGAAGCCCTGCACACTTTAGTGTGACTTTGGGTAGTCATGTCACCTCTTGTGCCTCTGTTTCCTCCTCTAGAATGGAGATAGAGCCAGGTGCTCAATAAATTTATGTTGAACAACTAGGCTGTTGTACTGATGAAATGAAAGGGAGAACTCTTGGAACAGGGCCTGGGATGTAATGAGGACTCAAGGATTGTTGGCTCTTACTATTAGAGGTGTCCAGTGGTGGGATGAGCTGAGAAGGGAGTCTGAGCGGAGCGAGAGGTTAGGTGTGCCTGGACTCACCTGTTGGCAGCCTCTTTGTCCACTGAAGGGCTGGGTTGGGTGAGGCGGAGAATTGACCACTTCATTTTCACGCACATCCAGAAGGTGGACCTGGAGCCAGTAGATGCAGCCATAGTTCTCTTGGGTGCCCCACCTGCCAGGTAGTGGTGAGCCTTGATGCCCCCACCACACCCCCCACCTGTGGGTTGGGAAGAGGGAGGCTGGGGGCTGAGCCTCCCAGCACTTTGATCAGGCTAGGGCTGCACACACCTACACATTATATCAGCCTGGGATTCTGGGGGGAAGAGGCTGGTGGTCCATGGATGGGGTCAGAGCCTGGGGGAGGAACCTGGGCTCTCCTGGGGTGGATTCCAGAGACTGAATCAGGTGTGTGTGTGTGTGGGGGGGGTGGTGAGTATGGTGCTCTGAGAGAAACCATGGCCTGGGGGATGGGACGAGGAGCCCCAGTATTTCGGGAGAGGAGCCTGAGGGAGTAGGACTCTGGGTGCTGTGGGAAGGAGTCAGAACCCCAGGGCAGAAGTTGGATTTTCTGTGGAGAGCGACAGCTGGAGGGAAGAGGAGTCTGAGTGTTTTGTGAAGAACCTAAGTGCCCTAAGAGGAGGGGCTCCTCATAGGCCTGCAGGCTCTGAAGCCGGCCAGTGCCTCTGGCCCAACTCAGTTTTCAGGGCACAATGCTGCCAACCTTTCTGAGGCCTTGGCATCCACAAGCCCTTAGGGTCAGGGCAGAGCTGCAGGTGATGGTGGTGAAGTGGGTGAGGGAGATACCTTGTTTCAGACTGAGCTGAGCCGGTCAGTGGCCCCTGTGCCAACAGCAAACCCTGGGTGTGCTGGGAAGAGGGTGGGGAGGAATGCAGAGTAGGGGCTCTGGGCTCACTGCGGCATCACTTCTCCTTTCAGCCTCACTATGAGGGGGGGCACAAGAACAGTGGCCAGCCCATGGCATTGATGGGGGCATGAAATGAGTCCCTTTTGCAGAACTGCTGCCACCACCATTGGTTAGGGAGCAGGTTGCCATTCTTCACTCACCTGTCGGCCACACAGATCTCGACCTGGGCACTGTCCAGCAGCTCCTGACACACCCCTTCCATCACCAGGTCCACAGCTGCCTCTTGAAGCACCATCTGGGAGGGGGAGAGGGTGTGCAGGCGGTGGGTAGTATGTGGAGCAGACAGTCACAGCCTGGAAGTCATCTCCTCTTAGAAGCTCCTTGACAACCATGTCAAAGCAGCCGGAGGGGTCTGCTCTGTAGACAAGATGGGTGATGGACTGGGCATCCCCACTGGCTGCTCACATCCCTCTATCATTTTCCACCCTGTCCTGGACTCCGGGATGCAGGCCTGCCTCTGATATTGGTGGGGACCAGGACATGAGTACAAATGGAGGCCCACACTGAGCAGGGAGTTCCGGGGCCTCCTAAAGTGTGGGGGGCTCAAGGTCTGAGGATGTGTTGCCTGTATGGACTAGTCCTTACCCTTTCCTTCCTGTTGGGTCAGCCCAATGAAGCTCCAACAGAAGACGGAAGTGAGAGAAGAGAGTAAAATAGGGGTATTTAACCTCCCGGCTCCCTCCCAAGGGATCACCTGGGACTCCTGTGTCTGTCAACGGAAAGGCACAGCTCCACACGGCCCTCTCCTCACAGCCTTCTCTGACCTATGTTTCAGTAACTGCTTCCTGCCCTTACCCCTGTCAGGCCTAGGGGTGGCAATGACCTTTCCCCCCATTGTTACTAGCCCCAGGGTCATGCGGTATCCCTTGTGGTCTGCCTACAGCTTTGTAAATAGCCCCTCTCCCAGCATTTGAATATACAGAAATAGTGTGGTACTGGAGAAAGAACTGTGAAGGTGCCCAGTGGAACAGAACATGGTGCTCAGGGATAGACCGAGATAGAACTTCAAAAATGATAGAGGCAACACTGGCATTCCATGAGGGAGGGATGGCTTCTTAGTAGATGGTGTTGGGAAAATGGGCCCCATGTATGGGGGGTGGGGAGGACTAGGTCCTTAGTAACAACACATTCAAAGGTGGATTAAAGATCTAAATGTGAAAGATAAAGTTAGGAATTTACCAGAAGAGAGTATGAGAATATTGTGAGAATCTAAGATAGGAAAGGATTTTTTAAAGTTTCAGCCCTGGCTGGTGTGGTTCAGTGGTTTCAGCGCCAGGGCCTGCAAACCACGAGGTCGCCAGTTTGATTCCTGGTCAGGGTACGTGCCTGGGTTGTGGGCCCGTCCACTGTTGGGATGTGTGTGGGAGGCAACCCATTGACGTTTCTCTCCCTCCCTTCCCCTCTCTCTAAAATAAATTCTTTTTTAAATTAATTAATTAATTAATTAATTTATTTATTTTTAGAGAGGGAAGGGAGGGAGGGGGAGAGAGAGAGAGAGAGAGAGAGAGAGAGGGAGAGAGAGAGAGAGAGAAACATCAATGTGTGGTTGCTGGGGGTTATGGCCTGCAACCCAGGCATGTACCCTGGCTGGGAATCGACCTGGGACACTTTGGTTCCCAGCCCCGCGCTCAATCCACTGAGCTATGCCATCCAGGGCTTAAAATAAATTCTTTAAAAATTTTTCACAAACAAATTCTAAAGCAAAAAAAGGAGAGATGGATTTGATCGTATGAAAATAACAACAAAGAACACCATGGACAGAGTTAATACAGAAATTTTTCCAACTTCCAGGATGGACAAGGGACAGACAGCTAGAATATATGAGAAATTCTTCTTGTATAACAACAAGAATAAGACATCAGCCCTAATAGAAAATATGAACAGGCAATTTATAAAAAAGGGAATCTGAGAAGCTAACAAGCATATGAAGAGATGTTTAATTACTACTAAATAAAAAACATGTAAATTAAAATTAAAACAGCAATGAGATATTACTTCACCCCTAATACACTGGCAAGTACTAGGAGGCTGGGTAATGCCATGTGAGAATGGTTGACCATGGGGGCAGGAGACAAGGAAATGGGTCTGAGGCATGAGGATAAAGAAAAATCAACCAACCAATCAGAAGTTCTGGAGCCAGATAACCTGGGTTCAAATCCCAGCTCCACCACTGACCAGATGTTGTAACCCTTTGTGCTTTATAATGTGGAGATAACAATAGTATCTATGTCACAGGGTTGTTGCCAGGATTAAGAGTTATATGTAAAGCATCAGAGAATAAGTACTTTGTTTGTTGTGTTCTTGTTATTTTACTGTTCATGTGTTTAATGCCTCCTCCCACCCTACATCTAAAATGCAAGTGAAAACAGCAGGTTCCTGATTTTTCTGAATTTTCCTTGTATCTTGACCTACAAAACACTGCCTGGTATACGGCAAGCCCTCAACAAACATTTGTTGAATGAATAAATGAGGGGAAGGTGAAGGTGGGTGAGGGTGAGGATGAGGACAGTGGTGTAGGGTCCGCCACCCTCCTTTAAGCCCCCGCCCCAGGGATCAAGGGCCACTCACTAAAAAGAAGTCACAAAACAGGTCTGGGAAGGAGCCCCCAGCACCACTGTTAGGTCCTTTTCCACAGCTCAGCCATCCCCACGTTTCACCTCCCAGCCTCTGAAGCCCTCTGTGTGATACAATGGGGTTGAAGACAAGAGACTCACCTGCTAGATGGCCCAGCAGAGTCCACCACCACCCAACTAGCTCTCGCCCACCAAGTTCCTCCCTCCTGCTTCCACTCTGGCCCCGCCTCCCAACAGTTGGCAATCCTGGTTCCACCCCACAATCGCTTCACTCAGCTTCTCCTCAGGTCCACTCCAGCTCCCTACCACACAGTCATCTTCCTTCTGCCGCTTAACTACTCGGCTTGTCCCCTGGCCCCGCCCCAGGCCCACTTCAAGGAGCTCCTCCTGCACTGGCCCCGCCCACCTGCTTCCAAGGAGGCCTCTGGTCTCTGCAAGCTCCGCCCCCACCAACACCCAATCGGCTTCTTCTCAGCCCTCCCCTGGCTCCACCCCCTTTAGCCACCTTGATGGAGTCTACAGTCCCAGCACTAGTGGTTCCTGACACTGCCCGGTCCCCTGGTTCCTTCAGTTCTGTCTCGCCCATCCACTTCGTCTCCTTCTATGGCTCATAGCCTAGCCTTGCCCACCCAGTTTCCCAAAGGCCTCTACTTCAGCCACGCCCCCTGACTCCTTACCCGGGCCCCGCCCCTGTTTTCTTAGCCGGGCCACGCCCACTCACTCAGCCTCCAGCGTTTCCCCACCTTATTTATCCCTTTAGTCTACCCGGCCCCGCCCACCGTTCTTTGGCCAGGTCCTCCACTCGCACGCATGCTCTCCGCAGGAGTTAAAAATGAGGTTGCTGCCCAGAGGCGCTCACAAGCAGTAGCACGTCAGGGCGCAGAGTGGAAACTCTTTCTCGTCCTTGCTATTGGGTGGGCAGCGCTGGGCCACCGAATAGAGTGCACGGCCTTCCGCGTGGCGGTCGTGAGCCAGCTGCAGCAGCCACACTGTGGGCCCATCCACTACGTCGCACCACGTGGCACACTGAGCGGCAGCAGGTCACCAATGCGCATGGCGGCATGTAGCTCGGCACCTGCACCAGCAGTTCTGGGGGCAGTGCGACCAAGGCTATGGGCTTGTCCACTGGCAGCCACCACCACGCAAGGGCCGGCGACCATCTTCAGTGGCTGGAATCCTGCAGGTGGAAAGGGGTTGGAGGGTCAGGGCAGTGCGCCGCCCTCTAGTTCTCCCAGAATGCGGGGCTCTTGCAGCTTGATCGTTACCCCACCAGCTTTAATGGACAGGGGCACTGCCACGGCCACGAAAACCGTGTACCTAGGCTGGGGAGCGTGATTTTTCCCTCTTGGGCAAAAGACCGCTGGCCAGACCTACTTCACCAGGATTGTTAACCATGGCTTCCATCTCTGGTCAGTGCACTAGTATGTATGTGCACTTTATATATATGTGACCATAAGCACACTGTAGACAGACGAGAAAACCACCAGGAGGAAACCATTTCCACCCCATTGTGCTCAACCTGTCCCAAGTCCTCGAGCCTTTGGAACTTATGAATTACCTCAACCTCTTCACTGAACATTCTTGTCACCTTCTTGTTCTAACCAGAACCCAGCTCCCCCGTGGCCCTTCCCAGTGGGTACATCTCCTTGCTCCTTGGTGCTGCTTCCAGACAACTCTGCATCCTTTCCTAAAGTCCCAGCTATGAATCTTGTCATCAAAGTAGATGGTACCCACCTTGTGAACCACCTGCTAGCCCAGATCACTATTGCTCACTCCTCCATTATTTTAGCTTCAAGCTCACTGTCACTTCCCCTACTCCCATCATCATTCTTAGTGATTTCCGTATCCAGGTAGGTGATCCTTCCTTCTGCCACCCCCGCCTCTGTTTCCTGCCCTTCCCTGCTCTCAGCCCCTCCCTCTTCCCATGGTTGCTCTGAGACCTTGTCTCAATCACAGCCTCTTCAGAATTTCAGTCTCAGGCATCTCTCTCCCACCCATCACCTCCTGTCTTTCCAGTTCTCTCCCTCCAGTGTCCCAAATTCCCACAACCCTTCCAAACCACTGTGATCTCCCATCCTAGGTGCTTACCTCTTTTTCACTTTCCCTTACTCCTCAGGCCCTCATTTCTTCCTAATCATTTACATTCACTGATTAATCACTGAAAATACAAGGTCTGTCCAGAAGGTATCCAGCCATGTACTATGAAAAAGAGACATTTATTGAAGAAGATACAAGACACAAGAAACCCTGTACATAGGACAATGATGCCTCAGTCCCCTTCAAAGTAGGCACCTTGGGACCTCACACAGTTCTCCCAGTCACCATCAGCTGTCCCGTCATATTTTCCTGAATCTCATCAATGGTCTGAAATCTCTTCCCTTTCAAAGGTGATTTTAGTTTTGGGAAAAGCCGTAAGTTGCAGGGTACCAAATCTGGGATGTAGTGGGGCTGAGTCACCTGGGTGATTTGATGTTTCACCAAAGAACTCTGCACTAGACGTGATGCATGAGTGGGCATGTTGTCGTGATGAAGCTGCCAATCACCATTTGTTCATAGCTGTGGCCTTCTGAATCATCTGAATAGTTTCCACAGGGGAATGTTCAAGCTTAATGCAAAATGATGCAGAGTCATTGTTCTACCAGGGGTGTCCAACATTTTGGTATCTCTGGGCCACACTGGAAGAAGAAGAGTTGTCTTGGGCCACATATTAAATACACAAACACTAACAAAAAATGATGAGCAAAAGAAAAGGTTTTAAGTAAGTTTACAATTTTGTGTTGGGGCACATTCATAGTCATCCTGGGCCACACGTGGCCCATGGGCTGTGGGTTGGACACACCTGCTACTCATTCAGTCATTTTGAATGGTAGGGCCACCTTCGCCCTATTCTTCCTAGCAGAATACGCCAACATCATTATAATAAACGCTTTAACTACAACCCTAAAAAAACAGTACACATGCTCATTCAATGGTGTCTACTGCCCCCACTGACTAGTACAGTGAAGTCATCATCGTTGATGTATCTGCATTTCAGTTTACATTTCTTGACTGCCAGGTTACACTGATGTTGCACAGACCTTTCTCATCATATTAACAATAGCTGGACTTTTTCTGGACTGACCTTATATTCTTTGCATACATCCTGCCTGTATTGTATTCAATACATGTGACCCTGGTTAAATTCAGCCCTCCACCTACCCTGTTCCTGCACCCACACAGTTAAAGTGGCTGAAGAACAATATACAAGTCCACTGGCTGGTCTCACTTCAAATTTTTGAACTTGACCCTCAAGCCCCTAAAACTGACTGACAATCAGATTATGTTTCTCTTATCCACTCACTCCTCCTTTCTATATATAACTATTTCTTTTTCTTTTTAAATGGATCTTGAGAGAGAGAGAAAGAGAGAGACATCAATTTGTTGTTCCACTTATTTATCTATTCATTGGTTGCTTCTTGTATGTGCCTTGACTGGGGATTAAACCCACAATCTTGGATATTGGGACAATGCTCCATCCAACTGAGCTACCTGGCCAGGGCTAGATAACTGCTTCATACCTTCTCCCCTACCTCCTACTTTATCACACCTCCTTCCACCTCTTCACTCTCTTCTTGCTTCCTATTTTGCAGAAAAAAAATACAAGTGATGAGAAGTAAACTTCTACAGGTCCCCAAAGCCCCATCTATTACCTACTTGCCTGGGACGCACACATGTCCCTCTGTGTACATCTACCCACCCCTTTCACCCACTCCAGGCCATGGTCTCACAGCTGTCCCCTTTCTACTGCACCTGCAGGACCACTTCTGCACTGGACCATTCCTGTCAGCCCACACTGTGTCATCTCTCTCATCTAGAAATCAACCCTCTCTTGACCCTGCCTCCCCTCCCAGCTATGGCCCCATTTCTTTGCTCCTCTTTATAATAAAACTTCTCAAAAAAGTTGTCTATACTTGTTGTCTCCATATTTTCTACTTCTGTTCTCTCTTAAACCTTCTCTAATCAAGCTTTGCTCCTCTCCACCACCCTGAAATGTCAAGGTCACCAACGATCCCCTTGATGCTGAGCCAATAGTTCTGTTCCATCCTCACCTTGCTTGACCTATCAGCAGCACCTGACATTGTGGGGTTGCTCCCCCGACACTTGGCTCCGGGCCACCACACCATCTGGACCCCTCCCATCTGCCTGGTGGTTCCTAGTCAGCTTCCTAGGCTGTTTGTCCTCTTATCTCTAATCTCAAAAAGTCAGGGTTCAGCCTTTGAAGCTTCTCTATTCTCCATCACCACTCACTGCCCTGGATATTAATTCATCCATCTTCATCATCTCTCACCTGGACCATCTTTCTCCCTGTGTCTTTCCTCAAATGTCTGTTCCTCACAAGCATCCAGGTCAGGGGTGAATACCTGCATCAGGTCCTCTCTCTCCCTGCCCAGAGCCCCCCTGTGGCTCCAGCTCACTCAGAGTAAACGCAAAGTCCTCCCCGTGGCCCCCAGTCTGTCCTCCCTCATCTCCTTGCCCTCATCTCTCACTCACTGACCCGGCCACACCAGCCTCCATACCTCAGGGTCTTGGCATGGGCTGTTTGCTCCACCTGGATCCAGAGTATTTTTTGCTCACCTCTGTACTTCCTTCAAGCCTTTGCTCAGATATCAGCCTCTCCTGAAACCATCCCTGGCCACCTTATTTATAATTTCAGAGCCTTATGACTGACAACAACCTACTCTCCCCTTTTCCTTATTTATATTTCTTTCAAATTTCTTTCACCTTCTAATGCCCTGTACCTAAGTATGTATAATTTACTTAATTATCTCCTTTCTTGTCTGCCTCCCTCACCACACTGTGATTGCCATGAGAGCAGAACTTTTGTTTCTTTTGCATACAACATTCCACAGTGTCCATGCCAGTGCTCAATACAGAAATATTAAATGAATGAGTGAATGAATCCTCACATTAGAAACCCACTACACAGCCCTGGCTCGTGTGGCTCAGTGGGTTGAGCACCAGCTTGTGAACCCAAGGGTCACCTGTTTAATTACCAGTCAGGGCACATAGCTGGGTTGTAGGCCAGGTTCACAATAGGGGGCACAAGAAGCAACCACACATTAATGTTTCTCTCCCTCTCCCCTTCCTTTCCCCTTTTCTCTAAAAATAAATAAATAAAATCTTAAAAAAAGAAACCCACTACACAGATGAAGAAACTGAGGCACAGTGAAGTGAAACAACAAGAACCCAGTGATTAAGACCTAATCAGAAAATCATTTCATTTCCTCATCAGGCGAAGAACAGCCAAGAAATAAAAGCTTTGTGCCTGGGTTCAAGTCCCAGCTATGCTTCCTGTTAGTTACATGACCAAGGGCACGTCACTTAATCTCCATGTGCCTCCGTTTCCTCTTTTGAAAATGGGGATATTATCAGCACCTACTTCTTAGGGTTGTGATAATGAAATGCAGTAATACTTGTAAAATGCTTAAGTAAAGCCACTGGTGTCTCATAAATAAAAATGATATTAATATAAAATTAAACATTCAATTATATTAGTTGCTATTATTATCACACATCATAAAAAATGATGAGCAACCATTTAGTGATGAGACTTTCATCTGGTGACATTTACTGGGCCCTTATAAGCCACCGTGCTGAACATTTAAGCTGGATCATCTCACTGAGTCCCATCATCTTGTTTTAATGGCCAAAATGATCCT